TACCCAAAACACTAGGGATTTGGGTACGGGGGTACCCAAAACTCAGGGATACCCAAATCACTGTGACACCGCCATATTGAGTCCTTACCAGGTCACCTTGCGAGATCTACGGAGAACAATACATAACCATGACATAGACAGAGGGGTTTTCCCCGCGTTGCTTTGCTAATCAAACCAAATTTATTTTTAACGTCGATTTAGTCTTTGATAATTTGCAAAACTGTAACATTAACACTCTTAGTCTTTTATTTGAGAAACTTTAACATTAATACATTTTCCTTTCCGAAGAAGCACCATGTGTTCGAATCCAAACAGTGAAAACGGGAAAATCTAATCTTGCTTCAGGAAGTAAATAATTTATTCCCCAAAATGCTCTTAACGCGTGATCGAAAGTGAAAGGGCAACGTGCCAAAGCCTATTTGTGCCAAGTCATCAAGCACAGGAAAGGAGAATATCGTATTTGAACGCCTCATGTTTTATCAGACGAGTGCAAATTCTCCCAAGGCACGTTTGCATGGGGAGCCGATCGATGGGGCTTCCCCCAACGAATTCTATAAAATAAGACAAATAACCTTTGCAAGGAAAACACGGTAACTTCAAGAATGGCGGTAGTGGCATCTGACGCTGAGATATCAAAGGCTAAAGAATTCAGAAAAGTCGCGACTTTACTCCAAAATGTTGGGAAAAAAGCGGAGGATTCGTATTCGAGATCGGAGATGGACGGCCGAATAAATGGCGAAGTCGTGTCAAAGACGGTGCAAGCTTGGCATCGAGATCTTCCTCGCAACCTCAAAAATGTCTCAACACCGCCGAAAGTGAACAAATCCCAGTTTCGCGACGCCAGAAAGCTTTTTGGAGTCAACTTTGAAAACAAAGTGACTTTGCGAAATCCTGGTCACCTGGGGGCATACGAAGAAATCGTGCTTCTTCAGTTTGATCCCAACTTCATGTCGACCAAAGTTGTCTGTCGTCACCCTTCCTGCGACAACATAAATCCCACAACAGCAAAAAGTGGCAAACGAGATCTGTACCTCTGCCCGCATCATCAGCAAGTGCTGAGGAATAGCATTTCCGATGCCTTGGCGAAGAAAAGCGTTGAAATCTCCACCAGTGCAGAGAAGCCAGAACCAGGCCATTTTGGTGGATACACGTCACTGATCAGTCTGTTAGAGGGGGCCTATCACGATGCAAAAAAATTCCAGACCCTTCAGGGAAAATCCCTGAC